AAATATCCCTTTTTCTCTTCATGCGAGAGCTATATAAAAGAGAAACCCCAGCATTTTTTCCATTCATTTTTCCTTCATTTCATACTAAATTTTGAGGGAAAAACTTTGATTTTCATTTCAAGAGCTCTTTTCACTTGCGATATCAAATTCTTAGTTGAAAAACTTTAACGTACTAAATCGTGTAACATTTTTTGGAGTTTTTAAGTTTATTTTTTTCTTTAAATATTTACTTGTTGTTATTTTAGGTTTCACTATATATTTTTCTTGAAAATATTTATTATTTTGTGAAATATTAGTTGATAATATTATATTAAGTTTTATATGTTAAATCTTTTAAATCCATAAAGATAACAAGACAAGCATTTTTTTTTATGTGGCATAGATTTGCATTTCAAATATAATTCATTTTTAAAAGTATTATGTGATTTGAGGAGTTATAAGTTTAAACCAGCAAGAAAAATATTTTCATTTAAAATATTATTAATTTTTTTATCAAAATATAAATCTATCTTAAATTGAGCAAATTTTATATTCCATTTGTAAGTATTGAGGTGATTAAAATTAAATTGTAAGATTACCTCAAATATTTTGGTAATTTAATTGCAAGATAATTTAAGCTTGTATTATTTATATCAAATTGTATTTTCCTTTTTCTTGATCTAATTCATTTGGTTTAGTGAAGTTTAAATTGTAATTAGATTGGGTTGTACTCCCCCGTGTAGGAGAGTACTCTTTTTGTAAACAACTTCTTTGGTTTTAAAAAGTGAGGTTTGCAAGGAAAACTTGAGATTAGTGGATTCTAGCCCGAGAGTTGGCTAGCGTGGATGTAGGTCGGATTGGAATTCAGGCCAAACCACATAAAAATATTTTGCCTCTTATTTTCATTTCTTGCATCAATTTTTCTTTATCATTTTTATAAAAAATTGTGTGATTACTTATTTCTTTTAAAAAATAGCTTTAAAATTATTTTAATTGCCTTCTTTTAATAAAAATTTTAGAAATCTCAATTCATCCTCCCTCTTGGGGTGTTATAGTCATCCAACAATTTCACCTATTTATTACATAATTCTTATGTATTTATATTTACATATATAATATCAAATTTTTTTATATTTATTTATATAATACTTTATTATCTCAATCACTTCAAAATATATGCAGGGAAATGTGTATTTCACTTTGAAATGTACTTGAGAATTGAGCTAGCTTCATTTATGTTCTTAAGTTGTAGTAATTTTAGAGTAACCTAAGTATCATAAATAAGTTATTTTTTTTGGTGCTTCGTTTACATGTTAATTATTGACATAGGGTGTTTATGTGGTTAGTTGATTGACTGAACAACCAAGAAGGTATCTTGAACCCGACCAACCAAATCAAGTTTTGTAATTGAAACTATATCAAGTTAAATGATTGGAGCAATTTGGTTTGGTTTTGTTTCTAAATTGAATATCGCCATCATCACTAGCCTTATCCAACTATTTTTGATGATTTATTCATTATTTTGAGGTGAATTTTACGATTATTGTCAACCAAATATCAACCCTCAATATTTCTCTTTCAGACTAGAGACAATCTGATAATAGTTCTGAACTAAAATAGCTTTTGTCATTGTGGGTGATACGGAAGAATTACTCTTACACACGCAAATATGCATGTATAAATATTAACATTTATAACATACATACACTTGCATATGGGCATGCGGATTTTCTTATAAGCATATGCTTGTTAGCCTTTTGTTTTGTTACATCTAAATAATTTTATTTTCTACTAAAAATCAAATGACCTAATTTTCTAGAACCCAACAAAATTACAACATGGTCAACCGAACTTATATCTTTGTTAATGTCAAAATCTCAGTCATCCCTTAGCATTTGATCCCACGGTTAGGATGAGAATCCGTGGGAGGCTCACCTGGATCATGCCAATATTCTTCTATATTTGGGTTGCTGAATTAGGAAGGATTATATTGAGGCAATTATGTATCAATTAGAAGTTATTTATTTCTTTATTAAGACATCTTGTATAGATCTATAAATAGGGATAATTTTGTATAATAATTAGAAGGTATTTTTACCCTTCTCAAATTCTATGAATTCTAACATGGTATCAGAGCCAACGACCTTAATTGCCGTCGAAGAATGATCCTAGATCGTCGGAGGAGGAAGAGAAAAGAAGAAGCTCGAAGCATCCGAGATGCTGCCGACCCGTGTACGCCAGGACGGGACGAGACGGAGCCGAAACACCAATCGGAACTTCCCATTAGAGAGGAAGGCCAAAGTCGTGGAAAGTAGAAAGCCGAACAGCCACGAACGAGACTCCCGTTGAGAGCTGAGCGGCCCTTCTTGCGCCTAGGCTCAACCACCCTAGCCGGTCGTTCTCAGAGAGAAGCCGCTCGGGAGAAACTGTGCCGAAGACGATGCCGCAGACAAAGCTTTGCCAACAATGGCTGGAGCGGAGCTTTGCCGAAGCCAGACGCCGCCAACAGTAGCAGCTTCCCCCTGCGCATGTACGGGAGATCTTCTGCAGACCAGAAGAATCGCACGCGGGAACCTGGTTCCGCCTGAAAGATTCGACTGCAAAACTTCGCTTGCCCGGCTCTTGCGGAGCCTCCGTGCATACCCAACCGACCCCAATTAAATGTCGTAACTTCCGATCCGACAGAAAGGGAAAGTCATCAAAGGAGCGCAACCACGAAGGAGCCGAAGAAGCAACGCTGGACCTAGAAGCCCGAAGCCTAAAGTTGAATGAAACTGGACGGGCCGAGCAAACTGTGACGAAGTCAAAGGAAGGAAACATCAAGACCTCATGGGAAGGAGCCGCCTAATTGCGAGCCAACTCTCGTGCGTGCAGAAGCAACGAAGCCTTGCGATCGAAGCCAAGGTTGCTGACGGAGCTCACGATGCGGATAGAGCTGACAACGCGGACAGAGCTACATTGCTCAGACGACTCGATCGAAAGCTCCTTCCGATTTTCCTATTCCGCTCAGATCCATAGAGACGCCCCTCTCGATTATCTTAGACAGGCCGACAACAGCAAGAAGTCTTAAATCAGATTTGAGACATGATTAAGACCTGAAAACAGCCTTTATTGCTGATATATTCAAATCAGCCTTTATTGCCAGTATAAACAAATTAGCCTTTATTGCTGATCAAATCATCCTATATTGCTGATACAAGCAAATCAGCCTTTATTGCTGACATGATCAAATCAGCCTTTATTGCTACTATATCACAGTACAACCTTCATTGCTGGAAACCTGAGGAATACAAAATTTTCACCACCAGCCTTAATTGTCGGAATTTTGAGGATAGTTTTCCATCATCGGCATTCATTGCCGGCTTTCTCTGGTGGTTGATATCCTATCCATAACCAATGTAGCTCTACCTCTGAGCGAGTAATTGCAAGCTGGTCTCCAGCTTGAGGGGGAGTGTCAAAATCTCAGTCATCCCTTAGCATTTGATCCCACAGTTAGGATGAGAATCCGTGGGAGGCTCACCTGGATCATGCCAATATTTTTCTATATTTGGGTAGTTGAATTAGGAAGGATTATATTGAGGCAATTATGTATCAATTAGAAGTTATTTATTTCTTTATTAAGACATCTTGTATAGATCTATAAATAGGGATAATTTTGTATAATAATTAGAAGGTATTTTTACCCTTCTCAAATTCTATGAATTCTAACAGTTAATCTAATGCATTTGACACTGCTTCATGCTAGTGCTACTTACAAGAAAATTAGGTCTAATTATTGACTAGGTGAAAGATTTTAGATTTAAAAAAAATAAAATAAAATAACCAAATTTTGTCTAATAGTTGCTATTATATGTTGTGTTTGACCCTTTTATCAACATAATTTGCACATTTTGCATTGATTATTTGTTTAATTTTAGCTACATGATTCATTTTATCACCACTTGATGCATGATTATGCTTTTTTCAAATTGTTAGCACCCTCCACTCCGCTTAAGCTTAAATGGCCTCGGTGCTTTGTTTAAAATCCATAGTTTTTTCTAGTAAGAATGCTTATATGTTGATAGGTTTTTCTAACATTCATGATTAGCAGAACATGACTTCAGACTCCATCATGCGCCAATCCAAGAAAGATATAGAGCATCCCAGCTCTATTTATTTGTCTTTCTTTTTGGTTGCCTTGTTTTTTACTATAGATGCGGAGGTACATCGGTAAAAAATTAAGTTTTAGATTTACATATATCCCCTTCGATTTTTTTTAATGACTTCACCCAACTTTTAACCACCAATTTGCTTTGCTAAAAGCCTTTGCGCTCTACCTGCATGCTTGGAGGTATCCTAACTAGGAGGGGAGCTCTATTTCCGTATGCAAATCCAAATGACTTTCTTTTTGGAATAACACCTCGTTGATTTCTGGCTTTTTTTGTTCTACTTATGGGAGTGTCATTAGTTTGCTTTTAGTCCTTAATTTACAGATTAATTAATTTTTTTTTATTAAAATTCGAATTCTCTAAAATCATTAAGTTTATTGATGTACGTCATCTTAAGATGTAAGATTTCTAATATAGATTTAACATTTGATGTAGAATTTAATGGGACAATTGTACAAAATTTACTGCAAATTCCTATATTGTTGCGATCTTGTTCTCTGCTGTAGTCCTAATTTGCAAAAGAAGCCTAGAAGTCTTCTACTACAATCCCAGGAAGGAGTTGATAAGAGATATAAGTATAACTTGCCAACTTAACCTATGGGAATATGAAAGCCTAGGTGTCACTTGAGGTTCCCCGTATTAGTTATACATTGGTTTTGTGCTTTTAAGGGATGCTACTTTTGACATTTCATTAATTCCATAGGCCTGAATCGCTCTAGCAAAGCTGGTAGGCTTGTGGAGTTTGGCACTTTTCTTTATAATTTTATTCTTATAATAAATCCTGCAGCGATCCTCCATTGTATTATCTAATAATGTTAAATTCTTAGCTTTCTTATTATTCACCAAATTGACTTACTTTTCTATGGCTTATAGGAGTTGCTTGTGTTGGAGGATGATATGAAAACGTTAGAGGAGATGTATCCTCAGGGAGAAAGGGTAAACAATAATCTTTATAATTCAACAAGTTGTACCGAATTCTATTATCTGTTTTTGAGATGTGTTTTATTTCATTGGCAGGCAGAGACTGCTTGGGCAATGACTGTCCTTGGCTATGTTGCAAAGCTTGTACTGGGTGTTGTTGGGTAAGTGTTGGAAGCCATAGTTATTTAAATCCTTGTTAGAAATATTCACTCAAAAATATTAACTAGAAAAACATAAATGTGCTTACTCAACCTCAACTTCATATTAGATCATGTGCATTTTCAGGAGAGTAAATGTGTTTACACAGTATATTTGTAATTGAATGGTTGGTCGATTTTTGTAATATGGCCTCCATTTGACCCTGTTTTTTATTTTTATATTTATTTTATGTTTTGTTTGTGTTTAAAAGTATTTCTGTTTTTTGAAATCACTATATTATGCCAATTAGCAGTGTTAAATGGTCGACCTCTTATGGATAATCATCCCTATATTCCTATAATAAACTGCACCTTCTAGATTTTCTTCTACTTAATGACAACGATTTCCAAGTTAAAATTTGTCTTTGTTTGTTTATCCGCTTATATCACTAGAACTTGTATGAAACTCCCTATTTTTACTGTGATGTTTTGATAATGTATATCTTCATTAATATTGTTTTAGAAATTATGTGTTGTGTCGAATGTGAAAACCATGCACTCTTAATTCCAGGTTAATTGTTTCAGTGGCATGGCTTGCTCATATCGTGATATATTTGTTGATAGACCCTCCTCTTTCCCCTTTTTTAAATGAAGTCTTCATCAAACTAGATGATCTCTGGGGTATGCTATTCCAAACTCTCCTAATGAATCTAACTTTTTTTTTTTTTTTTTGTAATATTTTGTTAATGTTAAATAGGATATTTTGTGATCCAGGGCTGCTAGGTACTGTAGCATTTGCTTTTTTCTGTTTCTACCTCCTGATGGCAGTTGTAGCTGGAGCAATGATGCTTGGTTTGAGATTAGTTTTCATCACCATTCACCCAATGAAGTAATTGGCATTCTCCTTTTGTAGTTCTTTTTATATTTCACATCCTGTTGTTTCCAACCTAACTTCAACTTTGATTTAGGTGGGGAGCAACCCTGATGAACTCCTTTCTCTTCAATGTGGGACTTATACTTCTTTGCTCTATCAGGTGCTGTATATCTAACTATTTTGTTGACATTAGTTATTTGCTTATTTTAATTCATGCAACTATGTCCATGCCTGTTGAGTTGAGTCTGAATTATTCACATGAGAAAATGACAGCGTTATGGAAAATATCTTTACATTCCGTTTCGTTTCCCATCCCAGTCTTTCGCCCGCACTTTGACACCTGAAATTCCGTAACGAGTCCATAGAGGGTACTACCCGGCAAGCTCCGGCGCCTAACCAAAAAATCCTTTCTTTTTAGCATAGGTACCTTGGTTATGATCACATTGTTGGATCGTCTTAAGTTTAATATTTCAAACTGTTTTCTTTAGATTCTTTGAAGCTAAAGTAGGTGGCTTTGGCAATCTTACTACAAATCCAAACTTGTTATGCCTGTCTTGTTTCTGTTTTTTTGTTTATAGTTTGTATTTGATTTCATATTTATTATTATCATTTCCATCATTAGTTATTCCCGAACATTTTTTTTTTTATTTTCATTAGGAATCCAAATTTGTCATTCAATCTGATTGAGTGAAGCTTGGCTTGTTAAACTTACACTTTGCAAATCATATCTAATAATTTCTATCCATGTTATTTTTGGTTTCCTCTTTTTCTTCCTAATCCTCAAACATTAATTTTATCTACCCATCTAATTGGTTAATTTTCTAATCTTGGTTGTGTATATCTAAACCACATTAGCTTATTATTAATTATCTTTTTTTAATAGATATCATTCTAAGCATTTCTTTAATATAATCATTCTTTATTTCATCTATCTTGCTTTTTCACACATGTATCTTAACGTTCTCATTTTTAGCATGCTCAACATAACTAGTAATGTTTTCTTTACTGGCCAATACTTAGGCTTTGTTTGGGAAAGTTTTTTTACTGCTTTCTTCAACAGCTTTTTAGTACAAAAATTTATTGAAAGTAGTGAAAAAATAGTGGCAAAAAACTGTCCTAATCGAAGCCTTAGACTTATGTAACATTGTCAATTTAGTTACTATTTTATAAAAGAGAAAATGACCAAATTGATAACCCAATTTTTTCTGAAGGACCAAAATAGTTCCCAACTATATAAAAGTATCAATTTAGTGAATTAATTCTTTAAATATTGAACAAATTATTATTTTTTTGGATCATTTAGGTTCCTATTTAAAAAGTAAATGGCCTAAATTGAGTTTCTTAAGTAGTTGGGGACCATTTTGTTTCTTATATTTTTTTTATAAAATTTACCTCTAAGTTTTTATGACATCCTCAACTTTTTGTTCCTTTAGTCTTTATGTACATAATTTATTCTAAGTCATTCACCTTTTAATTTTTTTTTTGTTATTTTAACTTTTCATTTATTTTAACATATTTTTCACTTATTAGAACTATATCACCACAAAAATCATATATTGAGTTACATGGAGTATATTTTGTAAGCATTTCCATATCAATATAAAAATATGTGGATTCAATGTTGATCGTTAATGTAATTTTTACTATAATTGAAAAGGTTTTAGTCACTTTATAACTATTTATAATATTAACCAATATTTTATCATACATATCTTTAATTATTTTAACATACCCACTCAATTCTCTTGTTACTTGATCACTTGCTTTCTTAAAGTAAAAAAAACATAAGAAGATTCTTTTTCCACTCGTTATATTTTTTAATTACTTATTTTAACATTAAAAATGGCTTATGTAATTGATCTTTTTGTTATGAAATAAAATCTATTATCTGAAATTTCTGTAGTTTTTCTGATTCTTTTATTCTTGTTTCTCTCCCATAGCTTTATTCTATAATTTATAAGTTTGATTTCTCTGCAATTAGCATAATCTTAAATGTTTCCTTCTATTATCAAAAGGAGGTATCAAAATATTTCTTATCCAATCATTTGACATTATTTTAGACTTTAAATGTTTATTGAAAATATTTTTTAAGGAAATCATTATAGTTTCCCCATTACTCTCAAAATCTCAATAGAGCTCTTACGGTTTAAAACATTATGTTTATGCATTTTTTTCAGAACTATGTCCATTTAACTTTTGCGAACCAATCTACAATATACCTTTTTATTTATTAATTTTCTTCCAAAATAACTCAAGTAGCATGTTTCTTTTTTCCTTGATGTCTCCATCTTTAATTAAGATTCTATTTTTTTCTCTCGTAAGCATCTAATTTGATTGAACTATCTAGGTCTGTTATATTTTGCTTCTATTTCTTTTTCTTCTTCTTTAGCATCTTGCTTATTATATAAATCATTTGAAGAAGTTTTTTCTTTGCTCACTATACTCGTTACATGAGTTTAGCATTTTATAACTATTGTAAAAAAAATTTTCCCCTCTTTAAAAAGCATATTTTTTTCCTTAATAAAATTTTGTAACTTCTCACTTCATCACTAATTCTCCTTCCTAATTTATGATTTGTTTCTCGACTTTGTTAGAACTTCTATGACAATCTTCCTAATGGAAAAAAAAACCCACCTTGTACCAAATCATATTTAGTTTAATTGAAGAATTTTTATTCTCTCTGATCATCCTATGTCAACAGTAAAATAATTTCTCACATTTCAAGTTCTACGATATTACTTTCAAGTTCCACCACCTTATTTCCTTTGGCTGTTGTTTTATACTCCTAAAATATAGATCCATTATTATTATTTTATATTTCATAGTCAAACTATTTTAAAATTGCCTTAAATTTTAATTAAATGAATTTATTTTTTCTTCATTGTAATTTAAATGAAGCTTATTTGTGGTTTGGTGGCTTTAATTTTGTAAGATGCGTTTTCTATTTTTGAAAATATTTTTTTCTTTATTGCAAGATCATAAGATGTTGCCAAATCAAGTTTTAGGTTTCTCTATTGCATTTCTATCACAAATTCCATACTTAAATGAATTTCACCAGGAGTTATCTTATAGCCCATCCTATGAAAAACTATATGTACATTTTGGACATCTCTAATGTACCCTCAAATAGAACTTGACTAGAGTTCGAGATTTTTTGATCAAGCCAGAAAGATCAATTCATTGAAGTCACTTGAAACATAATGAAGTCTCCACCACCTTCAAGTTAGCCAAAGCTGTTGAATCGAGTGTACTCGACCCTTGGGCCGATTAGGGAAAATTGCTTGAACTCATTATGGCTACTGGCCTAACTCGCTAAGGCTACTTGTCTAAGTATCAAAGCTATTTGCCAGAATTTCCTATGTGAAGTCGATAGGCGACTTTGCATACAATTGCCTCTTACTTAGAACTCAATATATACTCTCTGTGGTTACATGCAAGCTAAACTCATTTTATATTAATCACTTACTAAGCATTGTTATTTAATTTTATTTATATTATTTTGATATAACATTTCCTGTAGTGTTGAGCCTCAGCTCAAGCATATAAATAGGGTGTTAGATGATGAGCTTGATGCATTTGATCATTTATTCAAATTTTATACTTTTAAGCAATCCACTGAAATGCAAGACTTCTCATTATAGATTCTCTTTATATCATCATTTTTCTCTTGTTTCTTTAGCCGTTTTATTATTAAGACTCTGGTCCTGCCTATAGATTTATCTGGATTCAATATGCTCTGAGGTGTTGTGATTGTGAACAAATGCCAAGCCCAATCATGAAATGATTAGAAGGTAGGGAGAGATTAGTTGAAATGGAGATTCAAGACTTAGTTACTAGCCGACAACTCAATGAAATTGATAAGAGTCTCATCTGAATGCTATGATGCATCGACGTTTCTCCTCAATGATGTATGCAATGTCTAACACTTATCGGACATGACATACATCCGACACTCTGATACGTATCAGACACGCCAAAGACTTTGATGTTGAGTTGGTTTTGAAATATCGATGTTGTAACGATGTCAGGCGTCGATGTTGAGATGACATTGGAATTGTTGTGAAACTAAAGTCACGACCCACCAATGAGAATATTCGATGAATGAGGTATTGAGTGCGGGCAATTGATTTGGAGTTGTAGATATGAAATAAAAAATTTAGTTTTATATTTTAAACAAATAAAAATTTTAAATACAAGAAAGTATATTTTAAAAAATTTCATAAAATATTTAAGACACGCTTGTCGGACATGTGTGCAATTTTTATTTAATATTTTTTTAATCGGACATGTTTTTGACATGTCCAATATGTGTCAAAGACTGCACGGCTCTTTAAGAAGAAGTGATGGTGCATCATAAATAGTAGTGCTTCCTTGGAAGTGATGAAGAGAATTCAATACTTCACAACACCTCTAATAGTGAGAAGGGAGATTGTTAACTCAAAGCAAGCAGCATAGTTGGTTGGGTCCAATTTTCTTATGCAGGAATCCATCTGAAGCATCTTGAATTTTGGTGGTGACGGAGTTTTCGCAATTTACATTGAAAAATCATTTGTATGTTGAGCTTGACACTTCATCAGGTGATGGTTGAGAGGAGTCTCGGTTGTATTGCTCTGGGAGGTATGACTCTTCATCAGAAAGGGTTGGAGTTGAGGCAGCAGTTGTGTCTTTGAGAGGGTTGACTCTCGCTCTTGATTAGAGTGGGTAAGAGCGGCTTGTGAGAAGTGTTTGAAGGTTCCTTGGATTATCTACATGAGATAATCTTTTATGTTTTGCAATTGCTCAACTAATTGTTAGGTTGCTTATTGTGCAAGGTCCTTTGCCTTCAAGATGCTCCATGTTTTGATTCTTTGTTTTGACATGATCCACTCTTATCACACTTAAAAGGATGTTTGATTCTATGTTGCTCATGGAAAGATACGAATACCTAACTAAAGATATGGATTAAAGAGTGGAAATGATGAGAGAGTTATTATGTTGTCGGTGATTCACTTAAGTGGGTATGTCTAACACCCAATTAAATCTCTTTGACAAAGAAGGGTGAGCTAAATTTAGCTAAAAAATAATTTTGAGAGTTTAAGAGGTGAATCTTGAAGAAATTATGAGAGACTTTAGTGAGATGGAGTTTTGGCTTAATGAACAAGGTCACCTGATTTGATGCTCTATTGGTAAGTGGGGATTAAGGTCATTGGTATAGAGTTGGCCACATAGTGCGTTTACATGAAGTACAAAGTTTAGACTCGTTATAGTTTGTTATGTAACATACAATTTTAGATTGTGGTTGCCTTCTAATTGGCAAGTTTGGGCTAGTTTCAGATTGAGGATGAGTTTTTTTTTCTGGCAAGAACTCTTAGTCAGTTAGTGTGTAGTTTGGGTGAGCAGCTATGACTTCTCAAGTGAATTCTATAGCTTGGTATTGAGGAAACTCTTTGTCAATATGATGAGATTTTGCTCTGGGCGACTTCTGGCTCGGTGAGTTTCGAGTTGTAGGTTGTTTAAGTCGGTTGACATTCAACTACTCGTTGAGCACGATTTGTGTTTCATAAAAAATTAATTGGCCTGGCCTCGATTCGTATGCTTCATCCTTCATAAAATTTGAATGGTTATGATTTAAAATAACTAAAAGGTCTCTCTTTCTCTCTCTCTCTCTCTCTCTCTCTCTATATATATATATATATATATATATATAAAGTACAATTCCATTTGTGGCAACTCTTAATGTTTGAGTGATTAATATTGATATAAGTATTCTGCTGCAGTGTGATCCAGTTTTGCGCCACAGCATTTGGTTCCTATGCGCAAGCAACTGCTGCTCAGGAAATATTTGGCCATACTCTGCAATCTCTTCGTGGAATCAAATATCTTTTTAAGTGAGTTGGAATCAAAATACACCTGCAATTCATATTTCAGTATTCTTATTATATAAATTGTTTGCAGGTACAATATCTTCCCCTACGCCTTTGTCATTTTGGCCGCGATCACTTTCCTATACTATCTGACATTTGTAAGATTTCTGAATATAACCTGATTCATAGCAATTATATTGAGATCTGGTGTCTTAGTTTTCTATTGGTTGTTGTCTTCAGGGCTGGAGGAAGAAGAAGCCAAACGCTCGGTTCCAATTATCCAGCTGATCTTTTTCCAGGTTACACTCCCTTGTAAGTACCTGGTTTCTTTATATTTGAATTTTGAGTAAAATTTAGGCTTCGTTTGGGACGGCTTTCTTCCCGCTTCTTAATTTTTGTGCTAAAAAGCTGTTTTAAGAAGCAATAAAAAAATCATTCCAAACGAAGCCTTAATCCAAATATGAATCTGACTTCCACAAACTTGTGTAGTTGCATTGTCCGTGTTCTTGAAAGCTTAATTGCACATAGATCTTCATGGCATCGAAAACTACGATAACGATCTCTTGTGGTGGATGCAGAAATTTATTTTTCCGTTTGAGTTCTGATGTATTTTATAATTTTTTTGAATCTGCTGGTCTTGTAATCTGTTTTGTCTCTTAGTGTCTAATGCTTTGCTTGTAATGAGTTCATTTTCCGGTGTGTGTATTTGCTAAGTACTGTACGTGGAATCACAGGCTGAACTAAGAGAACATCGTAGTTTTAAAATTTTATACCTTGACAAATTTAACATCAGCGGGCTTTATTGTTTGTTTTGAGCAAATTTTTATAATATTATTTTTCACACAATTGTCTGTCATAGTTCTGTTAGTCTATTTATTTATTTGAATATTTTTATGCTGACAAATATTTTCTTACAGTCAGAATTATTAATTTAAAAGAAGTCTAATTAATATCCACCGCAAGTAATATACTCCATTTGTTGCGTGTAGCAAATCTTCTTAAAACAAATTTGATCGCTAATATATCAGACTTACTTTGGCCCTCTTTTGATTCACATTATAATATTTTAGCCTTCTTTTGATTTACATTATAATTTTGATTATTAGGCTCAACTCTGGCCCGCATTTGATTAACATTATAATTTCAAAAATTGAAGAGCCCTTATTTCAAATATTTTAAAGAAAGATACTTAAATTACAAATTTTTATTTATTTAGCTAGCAAAATGCAAATTATTAAATGTTTTCTATATCAAGCTAGCCGAATCATCATACTAGAAGGTTGAACCAATAATAGAAAGATGCACTTCGGCTTCGTTTGAGACGGCTTTTTTACAGCTTCTTGAAGCAGCTTTCTAGTACAAAAATTTTAATTTTTATACTAAAAAGCTGTTTCAAGAAGCAATAAAAAAGCCGTCTCAAATGAAGCCTTCATCCTCTCATCTCTAGCCTCAGAGTAGGGGGTTAGCATCCAAAGATAATGGCTGACTATCATGGGCAACTGATTTAGAAGCTTATCTTGCACTTCGTGTGTATTTGCTAAGTACTGTACGTGGAATCACAGGCTGAACTAAGAGAACATCGTAGTTTTAAAATTTTATACCTTGACAAATTTAACATCAGCGGGCTTTATTGTTTGTTTTGAGCAAATTTTTATAATATTAATTTTCACACAATTGTCTGTCGTAGTTCTGTTAGTCTATTTATTTTTTTTTGAATATTTTTATGCTGAAAAATATTTTCTTACAGTCAGAATTATTAATTTAAAAGAAGTCTAATATCCACCGCAAGTAATATACTCCATTTGTTGCGTGTAGTAAGAGATGATGGCAATTGGAGGAATATCAAGCTGTCTATTGGATGCTGAGAATATGGACAAATTTTTAAATTTTTTTTTTTATTAAGGTTTGTTTGATTTGATGAAAAATGAATATAGAGTAAAAAGAATTTAATTTGGAATAAAAATAGTACATTGAAAATAAATTTTAGCTATTTTGTTTAGTATATTACGAAAGCAATAGCTTATTTATTTATTTTTTCTTTGGTTCGAAATAATGAATGCGAAGTAACACAGCATGCATTTAGAAAAAACAATTGATAGGAGGTGTTTGACGGCGATGATGAAGTTGAGTGTTGATCACAACGAGAACGATGAGCGGCGGGCAGTGACAAGTCATTGCTTTACATTAATTGTGTATGTAAAATTTGCTCAAATCAAACTAATTTTAGATACATTGAAAATGAAATAGAGGATAAAGTCTGAATGCACTCTTAAAATATTTTGCATTTGAAACATAGCTGTCCAAATGATCGAGTTCTTAAAACTCATGTTTGTATTACTTTAACGCTTAAAACATTGTCAACTAAAAAACTTCTAAAAACAAATTTGATCGCTAATATATCAGACTTACTTTGGCCCTCTTTTGATTCACATTATAATATTTTAGCCTTCTTTTGATTTACATTATAATTTTGATTATTAGGCTCAACTCTGGCCCGCATTTGATTAACATTATAATTTCAAAAATTGAAGAGCCCTTATTTCAAATATTTTAAAGAAAGATACTTAAATTACAAATTTTTATTTATTTAGCTAGCAAAATGCAAATTATTAAATGTTTTCTATATCAAGCTAGCCGAATCATCATACTAGAAGGTTGAACCAATAATAGAAAGATGCACTTCGGCTTCGTTTGAGACGGCTTTTTTACAGCTTCTTGAAGCAGCTTTCTAGTACAAAAATTTTAATTTTTATACTAAAAAGCTGTTTCAAGAAGCAATAAAAAAGCCGTCTCAAATGAAGCCTTCATCCTCTCATCTCTAGCCTCAGAGGAGGGGGTTAGCATCCAAAGATAATGGCTGACTATCATGGGCAACTGATTTAGAAGCTTATCTTGCACTTCAAAGCATTGATATTGTGAAGTCCAAGCTGAAGAAGTATCTCACTAGAGAAGATGACAATCACAGTCATGAGTAGTATTTATCATGATAGTTTCCCATGCTAATTAGAGCCTGCATAGGTTTGGTCAATAATCACTTTGAATAATGGTGGAGTTGATTTAAAAATTAAAAATCATCATAGTGGCAAAGTAGTAAATAGATGACTGAGTTGATTTAGAAACTTGTAGATAGAAGAATCATTCTCCTAAGTTTCCACAATAAGCTAGAGATAGCACATAAGAGAGAGAAAAGTGAAGGAAGCCCTAGCTTGAGGAAAAAGGATGGATAGTAAAGAGAGGATAGTTATTGGATATTATTATACCTCTGTGAATGAATATAAGCATGTGATTGAGTAATAGCTAGTCTCAATTAGTATTATAATATTGTGAAAGTAGTATGTGCGAGGATAAGTAAAGGTTAGTTTTGTGGATGTTGACTGAAGACTAACTAACATATACATGATAATGAGTCAATAGACTTTTCTTTAAATACTATAGTTTGATGTTATCATTTATTAATTCATGTGATACACTCATTGGGAGTTATGAGAAGTTATTATTGTGTTGATGGGCAAGGTATGACGACTTTGTTTACTGAGCTAACAGGTACTCATTATTGATTATTGACTACTGAAAAAAAATTCATGCAAGCTAACAATCCTTGCTTATTTAGTGTGATTATTGGAATGCATGTTACTGCACTACTATTATTATACAATTTACTATTCTACTGATTAATGTTTTACTATTATGTATTATTTTACTCTGCCACAATTTTTATGGCTATTGATATTGTTACTGATACTTTCAATATTGCTGTTGAGCATGTGATATATGATACTTATTGGATACTATTTTTTTGTTTTTTATCACATGATTTCTATATTGAGCATGTGGGCGGAACCCTTTAGTGCCCGGGGGGGGGGGGGGGTGGCCCCCCCACAAAAAAAAAAAAAAAAAAAAAAAAATTGTTACATGAATTTTTAGGTAATTTGACCCCACCCATCTTTTTTTTTACTCTTTGTTATAGGATTCTTTAGGCAATTACTTCCCCTAAAAAATTAAAATACTATGATCTTTAGGCGATTGCCCCTAGTAGAATTATACACATTATGTAGAGGGGTTATTACAAGGGATTTTAGGCAATTGCCCCCCTAAAAGTTTTAAAATACTATGGTCTTTTGACAATTGTCCCAACATAATTAAACATATTGTGTAGAGGTGTTATTGTTAGGGAACAATGAACAAAATACAAAGAGAAATAGTTAGGAGAATTTGAAAATATCCTTACAACCAAAATTTGTTCTAGGGGCGCTGCCCCTAGAAACCCGTGTAGAGGTGCTGCCCCTTGATCTTGCGATCAACCAGGCAAGTCAAACTCCGTCAGTGGGCGCTGCTCCCTTGGACCACCGACATATTGTGTAGAGGTGTTACCTAATTTTTGTTTAAGAATAATTGCCATTATATAAGACGTTGTTGATATTTTTAAAATGTATTATGTATTCAATTACAAATAATCATTAGTCACTAAAATGATATATATATGAAAACAAAATTATATACTTTTACTTATAAGCCCCCCCTCTCTGAAAATTGAGGATGGTTTCACCCCTAGATATAGGATACTTATTGTATACTAATATAGAATGATTTGTTAGGGATGTTAAGCCCTATGAACGTAGTCCCAAGCTAACCAAGAGGGGGGGGGGGTTAATTGGTGTTTTTTAAAATTTTATTTTAAAAACTTAAATCAAACTAATAACAAAAAACTTTAAAAATATATTTTCTTAATAAAAACTATTTTTTATCTTTTGAATTTTTGTAGAAAAATAAATTCATATTTTTGTTCTTTCTTTTCTGATTTTTATTTCTTTTTTAACTAAAAAATAACCTCAGTCAATCATAAGTTTTGCTTCACAATAATCACAACAAAAATTAGATCGCATGAAAATATACAAGAGAATAAATCACATAAAATAAAATGTGGAAAATAAAAGAATAAATACTCCAGAATTTTATAGTGGTTTGATCAACTTGACTAACATCCAGTCCCTGGAGTCCTACTCTTCGAGTGTTACACTAAATAATTTAGTTTATCCCCTTTATCCCTCTCGATAAGGTGAAGAATCCCTCACAAGAATCACTTTCACCCTCTATGCGGCTGAGAATCTAAAATCCCTCTCACCTTCCCTAGTGTAACGGAGTAGCCGAATTCCTTTCACCAACGGTGCGATAGCGTAGCCAAATCCTTTTCACCAACTTGGTGGAGTAATTGGGCTCTTTGTCACCAAAGGGGTTTTCTTCACAAAATTTTGCTCAAGATAAACCTTGGCGTATGTAGAAATCTTGGTGCAAGTTTTCTGGAGAAACCGTATGACAACATCCTCTCACTCTCCATTGAATCTCACAAGAATCTTATCCCTCTCTCACAAACTTCTTCCTTTCTCTCCTTGCCTCAAAGCTCTCTCTTCAATGCTTTCTCATAGAGGACGCAACCCATTGACTTCCAAAAGACTTCTCTAAATTAAATGAGAGTTGTTTAAATACCAGGCTCCAAGAAAATCCTAAATATTAATTTCTCCATCTTTTTTCATACAACAAGATTTGAAGATCATACAATATAATTCCTTAAATTCTCCCTTTAGTGCCATATAATGAATATTGCATTATACGATCAGTTTAGAATTTTTAACTGATTATTTAGTACAATCTTAGGGTCATACAATATGATAAGTTTAATCGAATAATAGTTCATCTTGGATGAAAATCGGGCAATTAATTATCATTATGGTTGTCGTTCGGTTCATATAGTACGAATGATAACTTCATATAATATATAACTAATTATAATTAATTTTGATTTGATTGCTTAATCATATGAATAAATTAAGGTAATATTTTAATTACAT